TGTGTTTTTCTTAAATTTTTTTATTTGATGTTTGTCATTATGTTTGTGATGATGTTTGTTTGAAATTGGTTGGACAATCTTATTGAAAACACATCATTCTTAATTTCTAGATTGGAAACTTTTTTTTCCTAAAGATGACACAATGTAATTCAATATTTTGTGCAATCTAAGCTACATGCAATGTTGGTTTTGTAAAACTTCTATTATGTGAATCTTGTATGGCTTAGATTGTCTAAAAAATTTATGAATCTTTTGTTGAATGAGAGGTATGTCTATTACAATGACCCAAAATTGTCATGAACCTTCATCGAACTTGATTTATACAGCATTATTTCTAAACCTTCTAACATCAATTGCATAAATTGCATTAGAGTAAAATCCTATAAATGCATAATTCAACAATGCCGAAACCAAGCACGAATCTTTTAGTAAAAAATTGTTTACCTTGCTAAAATGTTGTTTGTAGAAGAAACATTCTAACTTGAATAACCATCCATTGCCCATTTTATATAATCCATCAAAAAGCACTCACACATGCCATCCTATTAAACTCCCACATATAGAAACCACACACATGAAAACATAATAAACCATATTTCGAAATAAAGAAAACCACATTTTAAGTCAAATCATCACTCATTTTATCCCTTTAAGAACACATATTATCAATGCATAAAAATTTCACTTACATCTATAAAATCCTTACGATGTCCAAATGAAAGAAGACCAAGTAATCAATTCAACTTTCAACTTACATCTATAAAATCCTTAGAGTCCTTTAAATTGTATTAAGTCAATGTCGATATTTTTTCTTTCAATAACCTCCCTTTCACCAAAAGGAAAACTATGCTCCATTTGTAATTCAATCCCAAAGTTAAGCCTTAATATAGACATTGCACTCGATACATCGATTCATGAGACATAAAGGCAAACAAATAAAAATAAAAAAAAGCAAAAATTAAGGAATGTCGAGGTGTTATTCCCGGACCATATAATACTATTGACACTCTTAAATGAACAAATCAAACTTAAACAGATAGAAAGCCCATATACAATTCTATTGACAAAACCCATATACAATTCTATGGAAAATTAACATAATAAATTGTTTTGAAAAGTTATTAGATTTTTTACCCAATTTCTTTTTAATTAAGCAAATATAACACTCATTCAATGAACAACAAGTATGGATAAAGCCCATATACAAATCCATCAACAATCCGACATCTTAAAAACATTCAAAAGGCTTCAAGATTTTGAGATTGCTCACCTTATTTAAACCCATAAAAAACAATGAGAAAGACGAAGAGGATAGACATAATCAAAAGGCACCAATATCGTCCTTCATTGGTCGAAGAGAATAAAAAAATAGGATTTTTTAGCTCAAAGTTGATTCAAACATTTGGGAATTTTTTTCGATTGAGAACAAAAAAGATGAAGCAAATAAGAAGATGAAGAAGCGAAAAAGATGAATAAGAAGATGATGTGAATGACACATAATGTAGCCTTTTAATTGAAAATTTTCGAGCTTTTCATTTTTTTCGTTTAGTTCAAGGTTAATAGGGCAATGTTATCTTTTCCCATTAAAAAAAAAAAACTTAGTATTTTTTAATATTAAAATAAAATTTAAGGGTTTTTTTTTAAAAAAAAATTCGGATGTTTATCGTGACACTTGGGTTCCACATAGCCACATGTAAACTCATGATTGGTTAGTGTTTGTTTTAAATTGCCATGTAGGATGACTACTTAACGGCGTCACAACGAAGGGTCCGAATCAATACATTTGTAAGAGTAGAGAGTTTCAATCAAATTGAAAAATTATAGAGAGTCTATATATATATATATATATATATATATAGGGTTTGAATATGGGGTAAACCCAATATAGAATCATTGTTTTGAGAAAAATTATTAAATAAAAATTTACACTTGAATATTTTTATAGTATATTATGTTATGATATTTTTTTTCAATTCTAATAATATATATATATATATATATATATATATATATATATATATATATATATAATTAATTAATTCGATAGTCAAATTTTGGAAGGTAAAATTATTTATGTTATAAAAATGAAAATTGAGGAGAAAATTATAAATTAATACCTATATTTTATATTTTTTTCTACTTTAGTGTGTATTAAAATTTTTCTTTTCAAATGTCCGTATTTCAACAATGGATCTATTTTGTATTACCATTAAAATCATTATAAATTTAATTACGTGTTTGTTAAGTGTCTATGCAAGCATAAAAAACTGAATTCTTTGTCAAACATCCGACTTGTCTTTTAGATCTCAAGATTTACTTTTCATTTACTTTATTTTGCATTATTTTTTATTAGCAACATTTACATTTAATATTAATAAATTTTTTAGTTAAAAAGTGGATTCTCATTTTATTTATTTATTTGTTGTTTTTCTCTCTTTTGTGGTGGTAGTAACAATTGATCTTAATAGCAATAATAGATTTTAAAAAAATAGATATCAGCATTATAGAAAGTGGCGAGTGAAAGAAAAAAACACGGTGGTGAAGAAGGTGTAGTGACGAAATAACAACAACAACAATAATAATAAATCAAAATTTTCTTATCACCGCACTAGTGGAATGTGAGTGGTGGTGGATGTATTGATGGTTGTAAAAGTAGTTGATGTATAATAAATAAAAAAATATGTATCACTATTTTAAAGAAGAAAAAAATCATTTTTAATCTCCGTTTCTATTTCCACCATCTCTTTATAAATTAAATTATGTTTATTTTTCATTTTTATTATCACTCTTCATTTACATTCTCACTTTACTACTTTCAATCAAACACTTATAAAATAGAAATAAAATTTTTGTTCTTTTTCTCACTATTCTACTCTTTATTACCAAACAACACTTAAAAATGGTAATACGTGTCTCTATTTAAAAGACAAAAAAAACCTTTTGTCTTCTAGCTTCATTTCAAGAAAGTATAAAGACAAACAAAATTTGATGATGAAACGGAGATATATTTATATATTATCCTTGCCACCAATTATTCTCAACCAAAATGCCCGTAAACTACATCATCGAAAATAGTTAATGGTAGCTACAAGTTTGAAAACCGAATTCGAAGGAAAAAACGAGTTATTGCTAGCTACAAATTATTAATGTAGCTTGTTATAGACCAATCATCCATAACAATGAGAGTTTAAAATTCACTTATCATAATTTGTTACTAATGATATATACATGATTGTAACTATCTTTGAAAAGACTCGTCAACTTAAGCCTTGACATAAGTGAGGTGTGAGATATTTTTAGATAAATAAATGGGGTGATTGCATGTAATATTTTTTGTTGTAGACCTATCTATATTTTCATCTTTATTTTTAAAAAAAATATATACATAAAAAAATATTGAATAAACCACTTATTACAAGACTTAAGTTTTTTAAATAAAAATCGATCTCGACTATATAACTTATTATGATAAGAGCTTTAAACAGATTTAATGGTCCGATAAAAATCTTGAAATCCAAATCATTTGATAGAACGTAAAAGATGAGCTTGGAAATAAAAAAGAATATTAAAAAACTTATTTTAAATCGAATAAATAAATAATAGATGAATAATACATGGAGTTAAGAAAGGATTATCCATCTTAAACTTTAAGAATGAAATTTCATGTCAATTATGTAATTTAATACTAAAAATGTGATGATACTTTGATAGAATATGTATTTCGTAGTCAAACTAGCATGGATTGCTGGCCATTACTTTAGGAGTAGGATCATATTTGTTTGGTGTGTGTGTGTGTGTGTGTGTGTGTGTGTGTGTGTGTGTGTGGGGGGGGGGGGGGGGGTGACAAAAACATACTTTTTCCATGAGAGATCATAATAAACCTATAAGAAGAAGATTACGGACAAAACTTATCAATTACATGTATATTTTGAGAAAAATATGCTCAATATTAATTTACTTTTTCCATGAGAGATCATAATAAAACCATAAGAAGATTACATGCATATTTTGCAAAAAATATTCTCAATATTAATTTACTTTTTCCATGAGAGATCATATAATAAAACTATAATAAGATTATTCAACAGCAATTTGAGATTTGAGAAAAATATTGGCAAGACGAAAACAAAATCAGTAGGAGGCTAGCACCTAACAATTTTAGCCAGACAAAACTTATCAATTACATGCATATTTTGAGAAAAATATTGTCAATATTAATTTACTTTTTCCATGAGAGATCATAATAAAACCATAAGACGACGCGACTATTCAACAACAATTTGAGAAATTTTAAAATATTTATAAAATAAATAACAATGTTAATTTTATTAATCTATTTTGATTAGACAAACAGAAACAAATAAGAGGGAGAAAAAAAATCACATTTCAACCTAAAAAAATAATAAGAATATTTTCACTTAGACTTTTTTTTTAATTCTCTCTTTTTTTTTCTCATCTTTATTTCTATCTCTCTTCTATATATTAAATATTGTTAATTATTTCATAAATAATATAAAAAATTTCCTTCTCCAAAACATAGACTTCTCGCTAGAGCTAAAACTCTGAACTGATTGTTCTGTTGCTAAATTAACTATTAATTACCAGAATAGACCAAAGAACCAAGCATGAAAAGTCAACTAGAGAATCTCCGATCATGATATGCAGATCCTCCTTTTGATTACTACCACGTTATGCAAACGAAGAGCTTTGAAGAATTAGAGTACGAAAAACTATTGCATGTGTGAGACAACTAATAGTACATAAAAAACAATAAGAACGATTCTAATTGTATCTTCCTCTTGCAATGCCAGATGGTACCAAATTTATTACCTCCAATTTTTCCGGCCGCATGCATGGTTCACGTCTAAGCATTATTAAAAGCCAATTGGCGCTTAATCTCCATCTATAAAAGGCCTACCCACTTCTCTATTTCGCACCACCACTTATCACATTCCTCACGGAGCTCATAGCATCTCTAAAACCATTCAAGAGTTTTAGATATGGCTTCAAGAGCACTAGCCTCCACTGCCCTTCTCCTCTCCCTCTGCATCCTATTTTTTGCTTTGGTGAGCTCCGCTGAGTATTGCCCACCACCACCATCACCAAAGGCCAAGTCACCGCCTCCACCACCACCAAAGGCCAAGTCACCACCACCACCACTACCAAAGGCCAAGTCACCACCTCCACCACCAAAGGTCGAGTCACCACCGCCGCCACCACCAAAGGCCAAGTCACCACCGCCACCACCCAAGATCAAGTCACAACCGCCACCACCCAAGGTCAAGTCACCACCTCCACCACCATTACCAAAGGGCACTTGCCCTAGAGACACCTTAAAGCTGCAAGCATGTGCAAATGTCCTGAATCTGTTGAAAATTTTTGTTGGTGAAAAAGAAAAGGCAAAATGCTGCAGCCTCATTGATGGTCTTGCTGATCTTGAAGCTGCCGTTTGCCTTTGCACACGAATCAAAGTTGATATCTTGGGCCTTATTAAGTTGGACGTTCCTGTCGCTGTGCAGTTGTTGCTCAACGAATGCGATAGGAAGGTTGCAGAAAATTTCAAGTGTCCACCCTCCTAAATCCTTCAGTTTAATAAGTTGCCCCTTATAACAAGTTTTCATTTCATCTTCCTCCACCTCATGTTTTACTTGGACTTTTGATAGGATGTTTGCTGGCTTGTTCCATAAACATTACTACGTACATCGATAATTAATTAATCTGTTCGTGTTATTGTTTTAATTAGGGAGTAGAAAGGCTCCTTCTGCCTTTCTTCTTCGTAATCTATTTTTATTATGCTGCAATAATACAAATGTTTTTATTTACTTATTATGTTAGATTGTTTACAGAAATTGTCTAACTTCATATGGCCGTCGCGTACAAAAAAAATCAAAGCACATCAGAACATGTGTACATACATATTTTCTTTTTATATAATTCTCAGTTCGTAATGATAAACAAAAATTCAAAGCATATCAATTATGAAGCGAAATAATAATTTGGTAGTTCTGACAATATGGCAATTTTATGCATCGTATTTGAAGGCAGATAATTGAATTGATATTTTAGTAAGACATTTTTTTTCTAAAATTTATTATCAATTACAACAATTGTTAGTAAAATTATACATCTAAGTATAATTTTCTTAGTTATGAAGTGCTATGTAGCTTATTTATAGAGATTATTATCTATATAGTATTTTGAAATGACATATATCCATTCAACCAATATTAATTTAAAAATTATATATGCTTTTCGTCCATGAATTTAGCCGCCATAAACATTGCTACATCAATCATTTGTTACTGTTATTGCTTTAATTAGTGAGTAGAAAGGCTTTTTTTGCCTTTCTTTTTCCTAATCTATTTTTATCATACTGCAATAATACAAAGAATATTGATTTCTGTTTTCGAACCTTTTTTATTTCTTCTTAATCTAATTGGTTTTGAAATTTGTAGCATTAACTATATGATATTATGTAGTGAGCGATTTGTACTATGTTGGCTCCAAGCATTTTGGTTAAGATGGTGGCTCGGGAAATAAACGATTTCTAGAATGTCAACAATTAGCTCTTGTTTGATGATGAAAGGAAGATATATTGATAAATTTTGTTTGTCTTTACAATTTCTTGAAAAGTAAAAGACAAGCATTTTGTTCTTTTTTAGATGGAGGCACGTATATATATGCTTAGTTCTTCCAGTTACCTATGAATATTAAGGTCCAAAAGATATACTTCCTGTGTGATATTATAAATACAATAAGCACAGTACTAGCATGCATCTTCGCAATCCAATTACCTTCGTTTTCTGTTCTTTTGTTTCTGTTTTTTTTTTTTTTCCTTTAATTTCTTTGACCTTACAAAGTAACAGATCGTGAATCTGTAATTAAAATATTCATGTACAATTGACTTTGGAAAACACAGGTTTAATCACCATGTGATATTTGCCCTTCGTGCGTGTTTATTCTACCAATCAGTAAGGGAGGAAATCGGCAGAATAGTGCTATGGATTTCCTTTGCTGCATTTAATATCAAATTACTGAGTGGGAGGAAATCAGAATGATTCTGTTTTTATGAATTATGCCACATGAAGTCAAAGCTATGCGCAAGCTAACCATAAGAGCACTTTCATATCATGTATGGAATTGTTTGGGTAGTGTTTATTCCAGCTAATCTCACTCTACAATATTGTTATTGTTAAAGACCAAACTAACCTTATTCATACATATTTATCTTCAATTGTCATAACTCAAAAATTTCCAAAATTTTTGTTATTCTAATGATTTCTCATTTATTTTATTTTATTTTATCTCATTTTATTTTATTTTTAAATTTACAAAAAAAAAAAATTCACATATATATATATAAGTCAAAAAAAAAAAAAAAAGTCATTGCTCTCAATCCTAAATTTCTCCTATAAAAGCAAACCTCTTCCTTAATGTTAAGGGGGCAGCCACAAGGGGAGCCACAAAAAGGAAGCCACAAAAACCTCCACAATTCCCTAATCTTCAATTAAAACCCTAAACAATGTAGTCTCTAGAAAAAATAAAATAAAATAAAGTCAGGCGACCATCTTCATTGGAAAAAGATGGCTACCATGGCTATTCCTCCCTCCACCAAGCTATTGCTATAAGACATCAAACGAGACTTTAAAAAAATTCTAGGTTTTTAGGGATTCGCTTCTCGTTTGTGGGTTATTTTGGATATACGAGTTATTTATGAGTTTGGAGTCGTCACTTAGTATTTAGGAACTAAGAACCTAAAAATAGCACTAGTGCGAGAGATTTTCGAATAAAGAGTTGGTTACACTTTGAAAAGACATCGATTATTCAAAGATACTATTTCCTAGGAAAGGTATCGCATCTAGTTTAATCATAAATTCATCTCCTAAATTATTTTTATTTGTGATAAGTTGTTTCGATTTACACTAATTTTCAAGTTGAATTAAGTTTTTTAGTTTTGGGAGTGGCATCATATTGAAACGATCATCGATACCGTTTATCGGATGACACATCGATTCAAATATCGGATCCACTTCAAGTCTCGACACAAGTGGTGTGTCGGAGACTATCCCGATTATTTGAATATTAATGATATGTGATTCGGTGGGAGAATCATCATCGGTTCTTAAGAATTAGGAGACTCGACAATTCATCCACTTATTAACCATTAATCTAATTATCTACATTTTTGATGAAAAATTATCATCGATCCTTAATAATTAGGAGACTCGACAATTTGCTCATCTATTAACTACTAAACTAATTTTGAAACAAAATCCTAAAATTAAAATTAACTATTAGTCTTCCTTTTTTATCATTTTTTTCATAGAGAATCGTCATCAATCCCTAAAAATTAGGAGACTTGATAATTCTTCCATTTATTAATTATCTATCTTAATTACTCAAAAATTTAAAATTAAAGTATGCCTTCTCTGTTTTATAGTTTATTGTTATATATATATATATATATATATATATATATCATTTTTTTTCATAGAGAATAGTCATCGGTCCACGAAAATTAGGAGACTTGATAATTCGTCCATTTATTAATTATCTATCTTAATTACTCAAAAATTTAAAATTAAAGTATGTCTTCTCTGTTATATATATATATATCAATAGAGATTTGTCATTGATCCCTAAAAATTAAAAAAATTTACCATTCACGTATCATTTGATTATCTCATCTAATTATGGAAATGAAATTCTAAAATTTTAACTAACTAAAACTAACTAAAATAAGTTTCAAGAAAGCTAAAATATAAAAATCTAAATTAAACAAAAAATAAAAATATATAAATAAATATTCAAGAAAAAATTAATCTAAAACAAAATAAATTAATAAATAAATATAACTAAAAAAACATTGAGTATTTTTTTTAGGTGGGTCGTGGGCTTGTTGGGCCGAGTCCATCTGGGTTGGCTCGTTGGACAAGCCATCCGAGTCCTCTCTAGTTTTTTTTTTTTTTAGAAAGGCTTAGGTCGGGCCGCAACTAGCCCAAGCCCGGAAGATACGAGCTAGACTTGTTCGACCACTTTCTCATGGGCTAGACTTGTCCAGCTTTATTCCTTCTTTTTAGAAACAAAATCCTTCCCTATAACATTTTTTATACTAACCCTAAATTAAGCAAAGAACAAAACTATACCTTCCAACTTCTCTTTCCTTTCTCTACTTCTTCTAAGTTTTTAAGATTATCACCACTAGGAAATCTCCAAGTCCATCCAAACTACCAAAATTGAGATTTATCAAAAATCAAGTGCTTACATCCTATTTCGGAATCACCAAAGTTCTATGGAGAACTAGATGGGGAGCAAGATCGAAGCATGCAAACCCACTTTACGATGAGCCTTGGGGGGTAGAATAACTTAGTTTTGTTTTCTTTTTATGTCTCTATTGAAGATGAAGGAGCGAATTTGGTGTGGTTGATGTTGACCCGAGAAAGAGATCGAGAACTATTTAGTGTTAAGGTTAGGTTGGTGCGTGATTTCAATTAGGCTATATCAATGGTGTCCGGTCGACAAATGGATTCGGATGGATTTGGGTGAGGGATTGTGATGGATGTTATAATAATGGTTATGGAAATTATGGAGAAGGTTGATATGGATGATGATGGTGGTGGAGCGGGATACATTACCTACGGGTAATGTGGTTGTGGAAATAGGAGATGGCTATGGTGGTGGTTTGGGGAGATATGTATGCCAAGTGTTTGGGTTTTTACCGTGAGCAAGTGCGGGTTATTATTTTGGATGGGAAGGAAAATCGTTATGGTTGGATGGGTATTGGTGAATTTCAAGCAATTGGAAAAGAGGGACAATGGGGTAGTCGGCTTTGGTGATAACTTTGTAATGATTGGCGATATTATAAGTTTTGTAGGGAGCTAGAGTTGAGTCTACAGTAGTAGGGGTGTTTAATAGGGGTATAGGTTGTTTAGATTGAGGATGAATTGTAATGAAAGAGTTAAAGGAAGGGAAGGCTGCTTATGATGAACTAGAGCCACAAGTAATGGAAAAAGGCTGGATCACGACTATTAAGGTATGGGGTTTCCTTTTTCTCGATAGTTGGCAATTAAATTGCTTTTGCTTCGATTGACTTGAGTTGAATGGTTGAGTCGTGGTTGCCATGAGGTGGTTTGGTGGGAGTTATGGTGTTCAATGTGGAGAAGGAGTCATGGTTGGTGAGTTTCGGTAGTGGAGGGAGATGGTTACTTTGAGATTTTTATTCTTCCAATATCCATATGGAATAACATCAACCTATCTAGATAAAGACCGAGAACACCTAAATATGAGACTTGTATAAGCATTCGTTAGGTAGAGTCCCCGGTGGTGTGTTAGGGAGCGTAAACTGTTGTGATTGGTTTGAAGGAGGGTCTGTAGTTAGGATGGTGGCTAGCGTGTTCGGTTGGCGGTTGAGAGAGATAAAGAGTGTACGGTGTTTGGCTTAGCAATATTTTCTAACAAGAGGGATCGGATGGCTATGATAAGGGGTTGTTGGCGGTTGGTTTTTTAATGAACTATGATGGCTAGTTTTGACGTGTGGCTATGGCACTCTTCCTTGGCAGTGAGGGTGTCCCCCAAGTTTTTTTTTTCTAGAGACTACATTGTTTAGGCTTTAAAAGAATAGGAGAATACTAGCTAGTTGTGGCTCTCTTGTGGCTACCCTCTCAACATTAAGGAAGAGGTTTGCTTTTATAAGAGAAATTTAGGATTGAGAAGAGGTTTTCTTTTATAGGAAAAATTTAGGATTAAGAGTAGTGAGATTTTTTTTTTTTTTTTGTATTTTGAATTTTATATATGTATTTTTTTTGGTTCTTTTTAATTTTCTTTTTTTAGTAAATTTCAAAATAAAATAAAATGAGATAGAAAATAAAATAAAAGAGTAATAATTAAAATAACAAAAAATTTTGAAAATTTTGAGTTATGACGAGTTGCCTCCTCTTTACAATACTTATGGCACAAAATCAAATGAAAAATATGTTTTTCAACGACTTTGTATAATAAGCTTGTAAATAAATTCTTTTTTTATTTTTTTGGTTTGGTTGTTCTAGGAAACCTTTCTTGAAAAATAAAAATGTGATAGGATAACCTTGTTATGAAGGGTGGCCTAGAAAGTAAATAGGAGTTACTCCGTCATTCAAGCAAATGACTCAATCCATGCATAGCCAAAATGTGTTTTTTTTTTTTTTTTCAGAAACAAAGTTCAAAATTTGACAAAATTAAAAGATCATAATTGCAAATTATGAGCATACATCTTTACTTGTGATTTTTCAAGCTCACTTAGTATGTTTATCCACCGTGTTGGCAACTATATGATTTGGGAATGGGTTCATGTTCATATTGGGAGCTTGTATACCACTATCAAAACTAATCCAACTTTTCTTGATTAAATCTTATAACTTTTTCTTAAAAGCAAGACAATCATCAATATCATGCCTAGTAGCACATGAATAACATTCATATCTCTCATCTGTTTTGTACCATAAAGGATAAGGCGGTTTCATCAACTTACACTAGATTAGGCTGATCCGTCCGATACTTACTAGATGCTCAAACATTTCACCTAATTAAAAAGGTAAGGGTGGCAATTGTTCGTGGTTCGATTGTTAGGGCATTTTGGTAGGGCTTAACAATTTAAGGGAATCAACTTGCTTGGTAAGTTTGATCGAGCGGACATGATCGACTTGGTTGATTTGGTAGATATGACTAATAGGCTTGATTTTTTGGATATGATTGCGTTTGATTTTTTGGATATGATTGTATTTGGGTTTGGCAAAGTGCTAGTTGTTGTGGTTGTTATGCTAGATTTTTATTAGGTAAATGTAGGGCTTTGGATGTTCTTTGGGATTTTTATGGTTGTCATATCTTCCCCGATTGCCCCGTCAATTTCTAGATCAAGAGAATTCTGTTTCAACATGGTGTATTTCACCATCTTTTCTAGTATTGTCACTCGTTTTCTTTTCATAACCATTAGGAACCTTCCTAGTTTTAATCGTTTATTCCATCATCTCGGTGATAATGGAAATGTCGATAAAATGAAAGAAGGGATTCCTAATTAAATACTTATAGTATGGTATTTTGAAAGTATTGGGAAAAATGATGATCAATTTTTGTTCAAGTAGTGGCAAATGAATCGAGTTGTACCTCATGCCATATTTGGGTATATTTCTTGACAATTTTTTTTGGGGCCCCTTTTTGCATATCTTGCCAACTAGATCAGTTTAGAGCAACCTCTATATTAACCTTGTACTCTTTTATGAAATAATCCATTAGATCTTTTTATTTCTTGATCTTGACATCGTCTATTTATATGAATCAATTCATAGTAAATCCAACTAGGCTTTCATGAAGAAAAAAATATTAGCAACTTTTTATCGTGCATAACCTCAACCATCTTACTATAGTATACTCGTAAGTGAGTCATTAGGCATTGAGTACTTGTGTATTTGGTGAATTCTAGAATTTGAATTCCTTTATAGTCACCACATTTGACACTTGAAACATCTCAACGAGTGCTTATCGGATCATACAAGTCACTACCTTTAATAACCCTATGGCCATTCCTCAATAGCAATCGGCTTATTAGAGTTGGGTTGTCTGCCATCTTATCCTTGTGAGTCTCTCTACCAATAAGCTCAAAAGTGGGCGAGCCTTGCATTTATGGAGCTTGTAGGCCTATTGCATAAGGAAACTATCTAGAGAGAAAGGGTGTCTCAACAGGAAATGTAGTTGCCTTAATTAATAGGTATGGCCAAAGTTATACGTTTGGTAGAGGAGAAACATATGTCATTTCACCATGAGCTTGATCTTGGAGTGAAGTGCCCCTTCCACTTGGTAATGATTGTAGTGCCTTTTCCAAGCAAATTAGTCGGACAAGTAATTTCTTCTTTTATTTTGTCAAGTTCCTAGAAAGGGACAAGGTTTGATACACCAAATTGATGAGCAATGTCACTAAAGAATTTATATCTTTATATGTTTAATCCTAACGAATAGGATTTATTTTTTCTAATAGGATTTTGACGAAGTTTGTCTAATCCTAGAGTCTTTCAAATCTCCAATATGTCTAGATTACCGGTTGAGCAATTCAGCCTCTAACCTTATGCAACAAGAGTTATGGAAAGGTCATTTCATAATTTTTTATACATAAGATGAGTTTCAATCCAAACGAAAGTCCGGATGAGCATTCGTAGACTTTCATCATACTTACTTGTCGCTACCCGAAGTCGAACGGGACTCCCAAACAAAAACAAATCTATTCTCTACTAGTTTCAAATTTTATTTTTACTTACAAAACTATTTGCAAAGTTTGGAGTCATTACCTAGTATTGAAGGAACTAGGAACCTAAAATTGGCACTCGGTTCGGAGATTCTATGGTAAGGAGTTGGTTACGCTTATAGGAAGATAATTAATCACCCAAAAGTGTCATTTCTTAAGAAAGGTACCATTTCTAGCTTAGTCCTAAATTATCTCATAAAGTATTTTATTTTCGCCAAATTATTTTTTAATTTTTTGAGACTCCAATTTTCTAGGTCAAATTAAGTTTTTTATTTTTGAGCGTGACATCGTATTAAAACGATTGTCGGACCCCTTCCGTCGAGAGACACATCGGTTCAAACATCGGATCTATTTTTTTGAGTCTCGACACAACCGATGTGTCGCCGGAGAACACTTGTTTATTAAAATAAAATTTTTGGCTAATAACAATCCCTATCGGATAGGAGACTTTGTTCAAAAGTTTTATGATTTTTTTTTTGTTATTTTTCTTTTTTTATTTTTATTATTAGTTTTTTTAATGAAAGATTGTCATCGGTCCCTAAAAACTTAGGAGACTTGACAATCTTCTACTTATTACTTGCTGAACCTAATTACTAAATAAATAAATTAAAGCTACATGAATTAAATAAAAGAATTCAAATACTGAAATTTAAATTAATAACGAGCATGCATAAAATAAGTTAAAATTTAAAATCATATTAATTAAAATATTTACAAACGATTAAAATATTAAATTCCCGAGTTAACATAAATTAACAAACATACATAAAATAAACTCCGGATTAAAAATTACATTCATTAAAATAATTAAAAACAATTCAATAGCTAACTTTAATATGAAATAAAAATATCCATAAAAAAGAAATTTTTACACTTTTTTTTTTTGGGTTTGGGCTGGACTGTCTAGCCCACCCAAAGGCAACATTTCGAGCTGGACAATCTAGCCCTATCCCAAGTGAGTTTGGGCTCACTTAAAATAAAAACTAAGTTTTTTGGCCCAAAAACACAACCCAAAACTACGCTTTTAAAATTTTGGATCAAAACCTATTTTTTCATTTTCCTTTCTCTTTCTCTCTTTCCTGTTTTTTCCTTCTCTCTTTTTCCTTTCTTTTTCTTTCTTCTTCTTCTTCCCTATCCCGAACGAATCCAACCTCTATGGGATGAACCGGTTATGGTTCGTCCTCTACTTTTCTTTTTCCTTTCTTTTTTCTCTTCTTCTCTTCCCTCTCCCGAATTACCATCGCTCTCCTCCCTCTTGTCTCTCCTTTCTCTTCAACCGAAGCTTTCATCCTTAATTTTCATCATCCTTCCCTCAATAAGCCTCAATCATCTTAATTTCTCCGGAAATTGAAGGATCCCAAGTCTTCTAGAACCTAATTTCTTGAAAACCCCCAATTTTATTGGTTTGAAAACTCGGGAACCCTAATTTTTTATCTATCTTAAATCAGTCTCCAATTGAGGCTTAAACCGTAAATTGAAACCCCGCCCAACTTTAATTAGCCTTCCTTTCAATTCCTTAACCTCAATTTCAAACCAATCAACAAAACCCCCAAATTCGAAACTCAAACTCGTCAAAAACCCCGAAATTCCCAAAAATCCAATTCAATTCTCAAATTCAAAACCCAAAAGCATCCGGGTTTGAATTCAATTCATCTTCTAATTGAGTGAAAAGCAAAACATATATGAGTCCGTGATTGAGGGGAAATTTGGGGATGGCGATGATGAACATCACCGCCATCAATTCTCCAGAAAAAGAATTTACATTGGGATGAATTAGGGGTGGCTTACCTAGAGGAGAATCGGATTGAAGATGAAGAAAAGCCTCTCCGGGTCACTCGTTGCTCTAGCAAAAATTGGGTAAAATTTTCTTTCCTTTTCGTTTCCTTCTTTCAGCTTTTGATTTTTTTTTTTCGGTTTGATTTCTTTCTAATATTTTGAACTGATTTTTCCGGATCGATTTTCGGATTGAATCCCCCTCTTCTTTGTGCTTCTTACTACCCCTTTTATATATATAAGTGAATTGTTGTGCTCCTTTAATTTTTGGACTAACTTCTATCCGATTCCCCTTTGATTCCGTTTGTTCGTTGGCGATTGTGTATGTGTGTATGCTTGGTTCCCTCCTTGTGTTGAGTGGGATTTTTCTTGCAAGTATGGTGTGTGGGGTGAGACTGG